TTTTCTGTAATTACCCTATCTTCTCCGAAGGGGGCTAATGAGCTTCCATGAGACTCGCTCCTTTCCCAGTGGGAAGGGGCCTGCCAGGGCACGTAGGCCAATCTCAGGGGCCCAACAATTCTTCCCCTTTTTTTGGCTTTTTCTCTTCCTCTCTCTGTTTCTTGCTCTCCTGTCTATCTGCTCCATTTACTTGTTTCGTCTTTGACTGATCCCCCGGGATGAGTTGTGCTCCTGTGACATATCTTCTTCCCTTTTGTGTTCCTGATGATAGCGTTTCCCTGGAGGCTCTTAAAAGAGAAGGAGAGAATGAACAAAGCTCTGCACGCCCGGCAGTGCCACCCGGCTACAGAGCCTGGTGGTGAGGCGAGAGCCTTGAGCATCGCTTCTTTCTCTTAGGGACTCCTTCTATACACACACACACACACACACACACACACACACACACACACACACACGCTATTGTTTAGGACAGGCTGTGATATGATTGAAATATTGGGTCCTCCGGCTAAGAGGGCTCTCAGTCGCCACCCCTAAGGCTGTTTTGCTATGGGCTTCTCATCGTAGGGTCCCCTGGCAGACTTGCTACCTTGGTTTCCTCTTGCTGCTGTAACGAATAACAAACATAGCGGCTTAAAGCAACACGGATTTATTATCTTGCAGTTCTGGAGGTCAGAAGTCCTCAGGGCTGCATTCCCTTGGAGACGACAGGGGACACTTTATGTCCTCGCTTTTTCCAACTTCAAGAGGCGGCCCACATTCCTTGGCTTGGGGTTTCTTCCTCCATCTTCAAGGCTGGCATCGTATCATAGTACCTTTTCTCCCTCTCTCTCCCTCTCCCACATTCTGTCAGCATCTCTCCCCTCTGACCCGCCTGCCTCCCTCTTTCCATGTAAAGACTTGTGATTACATAGGGCCCACCCAGATAACTGGAGAGGGTAAACTCTCCATTTTAAGATCCTTACCTTAATCATATCTGTAAAGTCCTGTTTGGAAGGTAAGGTAATGTATTCCCCACGTCTGGGGATAAGGAGGACATCGAAATCATTTGGGGCCATTTTTCAGCCCCACTTGGTGAGTAAAATGGGAACGTTTTTTCTTTCTTAGCTATCTCAGCTTAGATTCACACCCTTCCCTCCCTCCTCTTCCTAGCGGTGTTACCTTGGGCAAGTCACCTAACCTCTCTGTATTTAATTGCCTCACCTCTAAGATGGGCAAATAATGTGACACGACTTCATTGTACTGTTATAAGTCATGACAAGTGCTGGGATGACAAAGCATGTCATCCTGGTGAATAATAAGCACCCAAAAATAAACAGGAGAGGCAATTATAGTTAGGGATGTCAGAGAACATAGTAGTTATAAACCCACAGGGTCTTGGTTCAAATCCCAGTTGCCCGACTTTGAACTAAACGGCCGCAGGCTAGTTGCTTTAGGTGGCTGGGTCTCAGTATTCTCATTTGTAAAATGAAAATACAACAATTACCATCTTAACATATAGGATGGTTGTGACGATGCAGTAATAATATGGTGGACCTGAGTCACCCAGAAAACAGTTGGGTAGCTTTTGTTGTTAGAGTTATCGCCACCACCGTCACTGCCCTGGGGGGGTGACGGAGAGTCTCCCTGGGCTGCCTCTGGCCTCAGTGGAACAAGGACTGGACGGTGCAGCTGTCTGAACCCAGGTCCCTGAGAAATCCCTTTTGCAGTGCTCCACCTTTGAGAGGATCAGAGCCTGGCTAGCTCAGCCTTGAGATATCCGGTTTCCAGGCGGCTCCCTGCGGCAGAGTTGTCAGAGGTTACAGCAACAGCTGGCCCTTTGGAGGAAGAACTCTCAGGACAGAAGAGGGGTTTGAAGGTGGTGACCAGAGAGGTGAGGAGGGCGGGGGCAAAATCCCCTGAGAAGGCGGGGCCAGTTCCTAGATGGCATGGTCACCAGGGAAGGTGCACTGATCTGGCTTCAACCATATTCTCATTTTTTAAATTTTGCTGCAAAGCCCTGTGTCAATGAAGACTTGGGCAGATGCCCAGTATGCAAAACAGTTAAAAGCACAATTGCTCTAGTTGAAACCAGGGTGGGGTGGGCAGCAATTTGAGTCTCCTTTTTACTCCCACAGGAACCTCCGGGGGGGTTGGGGGAAGGGACAGTTCAAGAAAAAACTAGAACACAGGCCTTGGAGTTAGAAGCAATGGGGATTTGCATCTCTGCCTCTGCCACTTCCTGGCTGTGTGAGCTTAAGGGCTTCGCTTCACCAGTCTGAGACTCAGTCTTCTTGTCTGGAAATGGGACAGCAACAACAGCCACTTCATGTGGCTGTGAAGACTGGAGACAGTAACTGGGAAATGCTTAGTACAACGCTTGACACATGGTAGGTGTCTAAGGCATTCAGCAGATGGTAGCTATTTTCATTCCCTAACGGGGACCTGACTTCATCACAGACACCCCCTCCCCCCCAGAACTCGAGCCTAATGCCCAGGGAAGCTGTGAGGTGGAGCAGACAGCCCTGGGACTGGGAGCTGATTCCACCAGCATCAGCCTTTGGAACTTGAGTCTCTCTCTAGGTTTCTTGGATCATTCAGGCATTTGCTGGGGGCCAACTATGTGCCTGGCGCTGTTCTAGGCACTAGAACACAGGCCCTGGCATCTAAAAGGCCTGAGCTCCAGACTCAACTCTGCCACTTTCTAACTCTTTGGCGATGGGCAGGTCTCTGCACCTCTCTGGCCCTCTGTTTCTCCAGAGATAAAGTAAGGGGATTAAACTTGTGTCATAGGTTCTTCCCAGAGATGAGTCAGTGCGATTCTGCCAAAAAAATTATAGAATGAGCTTGAACTTGACTCTGAGAGAGACACTCTGAAACATAGTCTTTGGAATCCTACAGCCCAGCGTTTGAATCCTGTGTTTATGACTAACTGTGTAACCTTATGCGAGGGACTTTTCTTGAATTTCAGTTTCCTCACCTATAAAATGGGGATAATAGTACCCTCAAAGGGTATTGGTCAAGGAGATGATATAGGTAAAGTTCCTAGAAGAATGGCTGGCACATAGTTGGTTTTCAATAAATGATAGCTGCCTTCACCACCACCATCAAAATCTTCACCATAGTCACCATCACCATCACCATCATCATTCTCACATAAGGTGACACTCTAAAAATGGTCTCTAGGGGGTGACTGGTTAGCTCAGTTGGTTAAAGCGTGATGCTGATAACACCAAGGTTGCCGGTCCCCGCATGGGCCACTGTGAGCTGCACCCTCCTTAAAAGAGTCAACTATGCCATTGTAGCATGAAAGCCACGTGTAACCAATGACCATGGCTGTTCCCCAATAAAAAAATTTTTTTAAATGGTCTCTAAGTTTCTGACATCTTAAGTTCTACTTTTCAAGAAGAGAATTAAGTGACAGATGTGGCAGTTCACCCTGGGCCATCTGAATGGGGCACTTTAGAGGAGGGTCCCCACTAAAGAGTGTTCACCTTCACATTGCCGAGAAAGTCTAAACAGATTTTGGTCTCTTTAAGATTTCCTGTCCTTTCCCCATAGTAAGCAGGTGTAGGGCCCTGGAGATCGGGAACACTGAAAGCCAGGGGAATCAATTTCTCTTTGTGTATTTCTCCCTTTAATGATTTTGTTTTCTTGTCCATGTAGTGATTTCACTTCAAAAGGTCAGTCTGGATCTTTTGGGGATGGGTCTTTGGCCAAGGTTCAGTTTTCTGATTTAGATTTCCTATAATCTCCCAGCATCATCCTGCTGAAACCACACAGAGACTGGCACATACTGTGTTTCCCTGAAAATAAGACTTAACCGGGGACATAAGCCCTAGCATGATTTTCAGGGTGCTTGTAATATAAGCCCCACCCCAAACATAAGCCCCAGTTAAGATCGTCAGCCAGACATGACTGTATTTGAATAAATGTAGATTTTTGTACATGAATAAATGAATTAAGTGCGTCTTTTGGATCAAAAATTAATATAAGACTCGGTCTTATTTTCCGGGAAAACACGATACCATCCTGGGCTGGCCATCGGTTTCTTTCTTCCGCTGTCAAAACATTTGAATCCTAGGACAGATTATGGGTCATGGGATCATAGCCGCCCACAACTTGGGTGTTTTTATTGTTGCTTTTTAACCTCTTGCTTCCTATCTTTCGGAAGATCGGAGAGTCATAGCCTTGTTTAATAGATGGGATTTGGAGACATTACGTGACTTCTCCAAGGTTGTGTAAGGGCTAGACCTGGTTCCCAGAACCTGTCAAGTGCTTATTCAACTAAGACATCCCCAACCTGCCCCTTACAAGTCTTTGTTTTCTAAGCCTCCTCTTTTCTGCTCTGAATTCCGAGGCACCCAAGGTCCAGGTCAGAAATCTGCAACCATGTGGATGAGGACCTGTCAGCTGGGCTGATTTGGGGTCAGACTCGTCTCTGAGCAGAGACGAGCAGCGAAGGACTGGGGGGCGTGTGTGGGCAAGGGGCTGCGAAGTTACAGCTCCTTTGCTTTGAGAGTGAGGGACCATATTAGAACAAGTGTGTGTGGTAGGTAGGCTGCCGCTGACTTCACGGTGTGAGGTTGAGAAGTCCCGTCTCCCCCTCCCTCTGGACTCCCCCCTTCCCTGCTCTAACCATCCAATAACTTAACTTCGCCGCCTGAGGGTTCTCTCTTCCCGCCCATCCCCTCTTCCGCCACGTCTTAGCGCTGTCCGCGGTGCTGACTGCCAATCTCCTGACTGCCGTTTTCGACCAGCTGGGATTTCGGGTGCGCCCAACCTCTCCTCCCGGCCTCCCACCTCTCTTTCTCCAGGCACCTCACACATAAATCACGGGTGGGAGGTAGGCTTGGTTCCCCTGCGCCGGGAAGCTGCTGCCCACTCCCTTGCTCACACTGGGCTTTGCAGCAGTGGTGGCAGCCGCCACTGATTCGGGCACTGGGGAAGCATATTGGTTTGCCAGCAGCCTGGAGTTGCGTACGCGGACGACAGAGAGAGGAGAAAGAGAGAGAGAGAGAGAGAGAGAGAGAGAGAGAGAGAGAGAGAGAGAGAGAGAGAGAGAGCAAGCGAGCAAGAAGGCTCACAGAGCAAAAACCTTCATCCATGTGGAGAGCAGTCTGAGGGACTGCCTTCTGCCTTTTTCCACTGACTGGTCTGACTTTTCTTCCAGCAGTGGTATTTCTTTTTGTCTTGGTCCTGCATGATTTAGGGGGTAGGGTGTGTGTGTGTGTGTGTGTCTGTCTGTCTGTCTGTCTGTCTGTCTGTCTGTGTGTTGGTGCTTTGATTTTATTTTGGGAAGAGTAGGAGAGTCAAATGAACAATTTTCTTTCAGGCACCTCCACTGAGCCTTCAAACCAAGTCATCGGGAGTTAGAATCTTCCCACCCAGCCGGGAAGGGAGGAGTTGGCAAGAATTTGGCTTACCCGTACCCCCTGCAATCCTCTGGTGTTGTGGTAAGTGATAGTCTTCTCAATTGGGCAATTGGGCTGGGGGTATCGGAATCCCAGTTGCGAGGAGGTGTGTACGTGAGCTGGTGGGATGGAGGGTGGTGGGAGGGGAGGGGTGTTGAGGAAATGACCACATTTATTTACCCACATTCTGCAGTGTTGATTGCCCAGGCGGTACCCCAAAGCCAAATTAGATTTCGGCTCAGTGCCTAGGGAGGGGATAAAATGTGCTCATGTTTTAGGCATTGCGATAAAAATCGTGGCTTCTGCCCAATTTGCCCTCTCCCTTGCAGCAGAAGCTGTTGAAAGTAGCCGGCAGTTCTCTGAGTGACTTAACCCTTTGTGGGCCGGCCAGCTTGGCATGGAGGATCTCTGGGTGTTCCGATCTAGTGGGTGGGCATACCTTGGCCCTGGGTGGGATAGGGTCACCTGAGGCTGGAAGGTTAACCCTTGCCTAGGGTCACCTCGGCACACCAGGTGAGGTTTGCATAGGACAGGACTCAGATTGTACCACCTTCCGGGGACAGCTGAATAATTTAACTGTGGAGGTTTATGGCAAGCTTGGTTGTTCTAAGCTTCCTGAGATGGGAGAGCTGGGAGCCATGAAAAGACCACATTTTGCTTGGAGTGAGTGGTTGGGCAAGCCAGAGGGGGAGCAGACAGCTGTCTGCTGAGCAGACGATGTCTTCTTTTCACAGGTGGTGTAACCTGTAAGTGATTGTATGGGGGGAGGGGGTGCATCCTGGCACCAGCCGGGAGACTTCATCCTTGAGCCTGTCTCAGAGTAGGGAAAGAAGGGGACAGGGTTTGTTCAGATTCCGGGTAAGGGCTCCAGGCTCCAGCTTCAAATCTGTTGCAGGGCAGCGTATACCCTGCCCTGATTTCTTTATCTGAGATCCTGACGGGATAAGCCTGCACCAACCTGTTACTAAGTGGGATGCGGAGGTCCCTTGCAACTGAATCCAAAAACTCACATTTAATTTTAAAATGCCTTTGCTGCTAATCTGTAACTTATCAAAAGGGGATTTCTCTTTGCCTCCTGCTTCGATTACATCTACCTTTCTGGAGATGAAGGTCCTTATTTTTAGCATCTTCGCTATTATGTCAGGGGCCGCTTCAGTCCTCTGCATCCCTAAGGATTTCCTCTTTTAAGTTCGTGTTCTTGGAGGTGGGAGGAATTGAACATCAGCCTCAGAGACTATCAAGCCTGGCATATTAGCAGGGCCCACTCAGCCATCATCTCCAGCCCCGGAGCCATGTGGGGAAGCCACAAACCCAGGGCATGTGCCTGCTCAGGCAGGACATGTGAGGCCGAGGGGGAGGGTTGCTCAGTGGTTAGTGCCCAAGGTTTGGTCCTCACAATCCCGGGAGTCCCTCACGGGGTGACCTTGAGGAGGAAATTGCCTTAGTTTCCTCCCTGGGAAGTCTCAAGTATAAATGATGAACGTGAGGAAATTTAGTTTCAAAAAAATGTAGTTTCAAATGAGGAGCCACAGATGGGGCCCTGGGTGATATTTAAAATACTGAACTTCAGCACTGGCTGGTCAGACTGGACCATGGCTGGGGCTCTGGAGTGGGGGGGGGGGGCTTAAGGGCCCCCTGCTGAGCTGAGGGTTAACCCTTAAATTGCTGTTTTACGTGGAGGTTTGGGGCGGACTGGAGGAGGAGCAAGGGAACCTCGAGGGCCTCAGTGCAACATCACCATCCAGTAGAGGAGTGTTTTACTATTTTAATGACTGGTTCAACCGTGCAGTGCATGCCAGCCTAGCTGGGGCGGCCAGGTTTGGGTTGTCCACATGTGGGTGCTTTTCAAGCCTCTCTTTGTTGTCTCCCAGCCTTCCTTCCTCGGGGGGTGGCTAAGATCCAAGAGGCTGCTCTCCCTCCTCCCCCTTCACATTAGAAATGGTGCATTGTGGTGCACCAGGAAGAAGGAAACGGAAGCTTCTGGAATGAGCCTGGACCTGGCTTCTGGCCCCAGCTCGGCCTCCACTGTCTGGGCCTCTGTTTCCCCATCTGTGCAATACGGTAGTTTTGTGACCCCCAAGACCCCTTCCAGCTCTGAGGTTCTGTGAGTGCTAGGTGTGCGTGTGTGCATGCATGCTTCTAGGAATGGTTGGCACTGTCTTTGGAAATTTATCACGTGTGTTGAGGAGTCTCTGTTCGGAGTACATTGGGATGGCATGGGGGTCTCTTGTGAGAACTTTGGTAGGTTCCTGGAAACCTGTGTTCAACTGGAGAGGGCTCTGCTTTATTTATGGCCTCAGATGCACAGACATACAGATTTTGCAGGATGTGAAAGCCCTGTAGAGACTTACCCCAGGGGTGATGGCAAGGACCCCTTTGAGAACCTACACTCTGAAAAGATGTATAGTCCCACAAATGCACAACCTCACGGGGTTCATGGACCCTCCCTAATGCCCACCTGAGCGCCTCAGGTTTAGGATCTCTGATCTAGTCTCACCTCTTTGGAGAGGGAGCCCAGAGATGGAAAGCAACTTGCCCAAGACCACACAGTAAGTCACAGCGCAGCAACATACGAATCCACCATCATGAACACAAGGCACCCTCCCTCACTCCTGGCTCCAGCAGCCCGCACGGCCCCCACCCAGCCTGGGATATGGAGGGAGGACAGCACAGCAGCACCCTGCCAGCCCATAGCTTGTTATAGGTGAGCATAGCCGTGGAGACAAATGTGGACATTTTCTTTCTTGCTGGCAGAAGAGAGGCAGCAGCCAGAGAGTCTGCAATTGCAAAAGGGTGGCCTGGAACGTCGTCTCCCCAGTTGGCTCTGCCTTTTTCCTCTTCTCACTGCTTGCACACATCCTGGCTGCCTGTCCAAGGCTGCGTGTTCCAGTCAGGATGGCTGCTCTGGGGTTTGTCTGTAGGCTGTGGTGTTTACTCTTTATTTAACCCCCTCGCTCTCTGCACACAGGTCCTAGAGAGCACGTGACTTCCTTTTAAAAACCACCATGACATATGGACCTGTCTTCTGCTCTCTGTCCCCTTTGAGCGGGTAGCTGGTCGTCAGAGCAGACAGATCAGGAGCCGATGTGAGAGCGATGAGAAGTCAGCGGCGCAGTGTATTCCTGTTCAGCGCTGTGACTGTAACCGGGGGATAAAAATAAACCCAGGACCAGTAGTGGTGGGCAGGAGCTGCTGGGCTTACATTACTCGGCTGCCACCCAGGATGGAGATTCTCAGTGTTCTGGGAGAGTGAAGGACGCCCCACGTTAACAGTGCCCCCCCCACCCCGCCCCGCTTCCTGTCCCTCATCCCCGTCTGCCTCTTTAACCAGCTGTCTGAGCCTCCAGGGGCTGTCAGACCTGGGTTTGAATCCTGACTCCAGTGCTGCCTTGCTGTGTGACTTTAGGCAAGACCCTTAACCTCTCTGAGATTTGGTTTCCTCAGGTATATTAAGGAATTTCGGTGTGGTGACCAAGAGCATGGGCTCTGGAAATACAGCTCTTGAGTGTAGATCCTGGTTCTAGCACTTTCTGGCTGTGTCACTTCACCTCTCTAGGCCTCAATTTTTCCATCTGTAAAGTGGGGATAATAAAGGAATTGTGAGAATTTTAAGAATTAACATTTGCAGAGTGCTTCGTCCTGAGCCTGGAAAGGAATAAGTGTCCAGCAGATGTTAGTGGGGATGATGTTGGTGGCGGGAATGGTGAAGTCACCCTTGACCCAAACAGGAGGGGCGAGGGAGAGGAGGATCACACAGCCTTGGGACCCAGGAGAGAGAGGACGTGGCTTGGGGACAGGGGACTTTCCGTCCCTGTTACTCCCCATGTGGTTTTCACACAGTTGCTGGAGGTCCCTGGACCTCAGTTTCTGCATCCTTGAAATGGGCCTAACGACCTCCTTCCCTTAAAACTCTTGTGAGGCCCCCAGGATCAGGGCAGCTGTGAGTGTGGTGGGCAGGCCCTGCAGGAAGGGGTCCCAGGAGGAGAAATCCTATGGGCTCTTCAGAGGCTTTTGTTCCTTCAAATCCTGGGAGGCCTTTGCTGAATCATCCCAGCTTCCCAGCTCAGAGCCTGTGCGTTTTTCCTAGGAGACCTGAGCTCTCCCTCGCTTCCTACATGGGGCTTCTGAGGTGCTGCTACAGGCGAGCTTCTTCAGGGCCACAGCTGGGCCATCTCCATTTTTGGAGTCAGGGTTAGCACACAGCAGGTGCTCAGCAATGACTTGCATGAGTGAATGGAAGGAAGGAAAGGAGGAAGAGAGAGATGAAGAGGGAGAGGCAGAGGGAGGTAGAAACCTCAGTTGATGGACTAGTGGACAGGTCAGTTTGGGGAGGTGCCTTGGCCTGTGGTCCAGCCAGAGGTCTGCATGCAGTAGGCACTTAGTGTTTGCTGATTATGATGAGTCATTTCTAGAGTTTCATTTCCGATTTGCTACAGGCCACTGATAGGCCTCTCTGTCTTCCTGCCAGAGCATTCGTGGACATTTATTTATTCATGCGACACACATTTATTGAGTACTTACAGTATGCCTGGCACCCTGGTGGGCATTAGGAATAAAATGGTGACAATGACAACCCCTTTGGGACTCCAATAAAGTAAATGGCTACCTGCAAAATGTGGTCTTTTGAGGGGTGGTACAAAGGGCTTCCTTGGTTAACCTGAAATACTTCGTTCACTGCTAATCTGAAATTCCGTCCGTTAAGGTCTTATTCTTTGTCTTAAGGCTTTGCTCTTGGGTGAAAACCAGGTGCTTTGGGGTGGGGCGATACATCCAGTCTTATTCGTCATTTACACTTTAGGGAGGAGGAGTTGTAAAACCCTTTCTGAAAAGTGCGGGGACAAGAGTTTGCACACCAATCTTGCAGGTAGGAGAGAGGGCAAAAGGCAGAGAAAGATAAACGTTGCTGGAGTCACATTCTTCTGGGGGGTGGAAAAAAAAAATCTCTTGATGCCCAAGAGAACCCCAGGCCAGCTCTTGGGTTGCACGCTAGACCAGTACCCTCCGGAAGTGCGAGTGTAGGGCCCTGGGACCTATGTTTTCAC